GACAACTTCCACAATCCCCTGTGAAATTGATTCGATGCTGACAGCGTAGAGAGAAGCTCGAGTTTCATCTATCCACCTGGATCATCATGTAATTCAGAAAGAGAGAGAGAGAAATGGGGTTTAACCTCCACACAAACTAGGTCATTTCGGGACTAACATGGTTTAATATTTTATTTCAATAATTCGCTTGTGCCTAGGGGTCTTTAGCAGTGGGAGGAAACCGGAGGACTCGGAGAAAACGCACGAGGTTGGACAGGCGACCCTACTCCTTGTCACGTACAACCAAGGATTCGAAACAACGCCAGTTGACACAATGACAGGCCTTATGATACAGAGTGCACGAGCTAACCATTCGGCCATCCAACCCCCCTTCAGAAAGTAAGAGATTAGGTTTGTGGATGAGGCACTCTTCTTCGGAAAATCCCGGCTACAACATTGTGTGTAAAATGCCTCAATTTGCACAAGATACAATTAGTTTATTTCTGTGCGATATTGCGACATAGGTTTGACTATATCCTATACGGGAGCCACATTCAATCCCTGCATTAAATATGATTGTCAACCAATCAGCTGAAATGTTTGATTATGTCGGGATTCTGCAATCACCATAACGTACTGGTAACACGACTCTGCAGGACACAATTCTGTTTCATCTGTTTCATTTGATTGCAATGCTGATAATGTAGAACCCACTATTGCACACCTCACTGCCCACCCAATTTAAAGGACAATATTGGTGTCAGTCACTCATTACCACATATGTGATAGAACTGGTTCAAGACGTTCCAAATATAAGTTTAACACAGAGATAATTGCTACGATAGATGTGTAATGACGATTTGAAAAAATGGATGTGACGAACACAAAAGGAAAACACGAGTTATCCGTCTATATAACTGACTGAAGTGGGAGGCTATCTGACAATTCATAAAAGATCATTGACTGTCACTAGATAAGAGAAAACGAAAAAATAGAAATAGCCCGTATATTCCCTTTGTTTTTATTCATTCTATATTTTAAAAAAAACATGGTAATACACAGACTTTTTCTATTTTTTTTTTTATGATAATGACTGACACCAATAATATTGTCCTTTAAATATAAAGTAGGAGGGGACAAAAAAATACTAAGAACATTCTGATTTTGGAACATTGTATTGCCACGTTATCATACTAAATTAAATAGGAACATTTACATACAGTGGATAACAAATAACAAACGTTTCATATTTCAATCTAAATATAACTCAATGCTACTTTCGTTTTGTTTACCATGTGAATGAACCAATAACAAACTTTCATATTTCAATCTAAATAAAGCTCTACTTTCGTTTTGTTTATTTTGGTGATCACCCCATGGGACGAAGAACCTAAAAATACAACAGAACGAAATGTTTGTATCAGTTTAATTAGACTGACATAAATTATAAAAGTTATATACAGGAATGGGTTAAAGGAATAGTACCTCTTCGATTTAGATCAAAATAAAGTGTTCAAATGGACTGATCTGATGTGGGTTGAAATGCTTTAAATTTTCATGTAGTCCAAAAATGTTTAGTTTTGTGTCCGATTTAAAAAGTTGAACAGAACTTTAGTCATTATATTTGACACTTGGGCCGTGCTTTAAATTTTCATACATATTGTAGTCCAAAAAATTTAGTTTGTATCCAATTTAAAAAGTTGAACAGAACTTTAGTTATTATATCTGACACAGGGCTTTCTCTTCAAAGCTTTGACAGCTGGTCAATTCTTGATGTATTTCGTTTACCATCTCAGATTTAAACAATATTTTTCCAAGGAATACAAGTTTTTAGTGTTACCCCCAAAAGGAGAAATTCAAAGTTCATGTCCTATAAGTTCTCCAGGTGGTCAATTTACCTGCCAGTCAGTCAAGTCCGGTAAATATCATTGAAATTTAAAGCCCTGGTTCACAGACACAAGAAAAAAGATGTGTTGCCAGGTAACAAAACATACTCCTGCAGCAGCTAAATCTATGGATATAACAATTATATACATATCTTGCAAATCAAACCAAATTTAATCAGATGAACACTTTTATTTCTCAAGGAAATCAAATTGGTCAAATCCTCTCAAATACTGCTTGGGAAGTAATTAAAGTTCTTGCTAAAGGGACGGACTTTATACACAATACAGAACCTGGCTAAAGGGACGGACTTTATACACAATACAAAATAAATACGTAACCTGCAATATAAAATTATATATATATATATAAGATTGTCAAATAATTAGAAGGACATTTTACTTTAAATAAATCAAGACTTCAATCAATAACACCTCCTAATATGGTAATATGCATTTGACGTTACAGGATATTAAGAGAGGCATTAGGGCTTTTGAGATCTTCATCAGTAGGTAAAAAAAAATAATTTTCAATTTTAACTTCCAATTTTCACATTGTGCAACTTTTAAAAGTGGATTTCAAGAATTTTAACAAATGAAATGTAATGAAATGGGGTTTAACGTCCTACTGTTCTGCTCCGACTGGGCTAATGAAGTGCAGGAGATAACAACCAACTAGAAACCTAGATCACTAACCTGTACAACAGATCACAGAGAGAGAGAGAGAGAGAGATGTGGTTTATTTAAGTGGTTTATTTCAATAATTTGTGGTGCGTAGGGGTCTTTAGCAGTGGGAGGAAACCGGAAGACCCGGAGAAAACCCATAAGGTTGGACAGGCGACATCACACACAGGCATGGAAAAGTATTTTCAAATTGAATGAAAAGTCAGTGCATGAATTTTTGACAAATTCGTGAGTCCTAGGTTATGTTGATAATAATCAAAATTAATTACATTTTTTTTTCTTGATTAAAGTGATAATGCCTCGTATAAAATTTCCATCTAGGGATTACAATATTTTGGATGTTATTCAAAATTAATGACATTAATTTCTAGATTAAAATGATAATGCCTCATTTCATTTAGTGATTACACATTTTAAGGTTTTAAAGCAAACTGTCATTTTAATTATATATTAAATGCACAAATTGAATAAGCTCTACTAATAACATTACTGATACATTTGTTTCTTCAATCCTTAGTCAGGAGAACTAAAACTAAAATATTTTAAAGCATATACTGTGTTCTCGTTGGCTCGGACGTAAATTCTTGGACATGTTTTAAGCCAAACGAAACATCATATTCTTAAAATATATTAGATTTCATGAACAAAATAATCAAAGTACACTATATTTATTATTTTTACTATCAGCAGTTAGAATGAATAATGAGTTACTAAAAAGACCAATATGAAGTATATACAAAGAATTTTACTGGTAATTATTAACTGACTTAACCAGTACACACAAATAGTTCCCTACAGTTTGGCTATTAATCCAAGTTGTGACAATTTCATCATGTACATTATAACAAATAAACAACTTAAATTTCATTATCTGATCAAGTTTAGCTAAAAAAATGCCCCAATTCACGCATACTGACATCCAAAAGATATTATACCAAGTCTGATATATAAAAACAAAACATGTTGTATACATGTACATATTTTCGAAAGGATATCGGACATCTTCAGTTAATAGCCAAGAACGTTGTGCTCTTATCTTTTCGTATAAAACTTTCAATCACAGTAGGAGAAATTCTGCCAGATCGAATTGATTAAACTTTCTCAGAATGGAATTTACTTAATCCCACCAATACTGACAATCATTGGATAATAAAATATCTCAACCAACCACAACAGCTGAAACATGATCGTCGTTTTAAAATTATGTCACGATTTTACTCACAATACAACAGATATAGGGACTGATGGAACTGTGACAAATTTGAATTGCAATTCTGTCAATTCGGAACATTACGGATAAACAATCAATAATCAACTAATGCTAGGTTCCCAACTGCGTTACGATAGGATTGTCCCTATTGAATCCACGATCTGGTACGTGCAGATATTTTTGGATACATTTCGATACAATCAACACGATCGCTGCGACTGACCACAATATATGGTAACACTTGATAGGATCACCACGATTACTCCACGATTTCATTCATAGTGCAAATCGTCATAGTGGGAACCGAGCATAAGAGAGAGGGGAATCTGGTATCACAGAATAATGTAAAATCGTTTAAAAACATTAATACATGCAGACAGTGCTCATTTAAAATCAACAATATTAAAAATATTATAAATTGGAATGTAAAATGGCTGGATCTCATGATTTTCTTTTTTAACAATAAATAGTTTAATACAATTAAAACATTTAAAAAAAAATAAAAATATGTTAAATCACATGTTTTAAACAATTATTAACATTTTATTCCTTAGCAACAATAATTCTCCTTAGCAACAAATATTTTCATCTCCATACAAATAATTCTCTATCACAGTAATCTTTTGCTATGATTTCATTGTCATTCAACACTCAAACTTAATAAAATTCATGAATAAATCAGAATTTTATTCATAAAAATTCACATCACAGGTTTAAATTATTAACATTGTTCTAACATAAAAAATATTTACACTCTTGCTTAACATTTCCATGGATTTTAAATAAATTAAATTTTATAATGTGACTTTGTTCACTTCTCTTAAAAATAATCCCATTTGTGGATTTCTGTATCACAATAAAAAATATCCCTCTGCATTCTTCTTGTTTTGATAATCATTTCAATTGAATATTGATAATCATTTCAAATTAAATTTGATAATCATTTCCAATGAAAATTGATAATTATTTCAAATCAAATTTGATAATCATTTCAAATCAAATTCGATAATCATTTCAAATCAAATTTGATAATCATTTCCAATGAAAATTGATAATCATTTCAAATCAAATTTGATAACCATTTCAAATCAAATTTGATAATCATTTCAAATCAAATTTGATAATCATTTCAAAACAAATTCAAAAATTTGATAATCATTTCAAAACAAATCTGACAATAATTTCAAATATAATTTGATAATCATTTCAAATCATATTTAATAATCATTTCATTTCAAATCTGACAAACATTTCATTTTAGTTCAAGTCGGACAATCATTTCAAATAAAATTTTAGAAAAGATCTATAGATTTTTTTTTAGGAATTCTATTTGTGGATTTCTGTATTCTGACTACTTTCACAAATATAATCATTAATATTTTCTTGTAAATATTGGATGGTTGCCATTTTCTGGTTAAGCAGGTCATTGAGTCGTCTGAGGTAGTCTTCAAAGCTCTGAAAGACAAATTAAAATGGAAGTTCGAACCAGTTTTTTCACTTCAAAATTTTGCATGTCGGTTAATTTCTACGGAATTTTGTTTATCTTGGAATTGCAAGAAAATAATTCTAAATGATTTAATCATGTTTCGCTTTATCCCAATTATTTTTATATTTTTAAATTTTTTTTTTTCAAAATAAATTATATAAAGATTAATAATTAACGTTACCTTTTGTCCTGATTTTTTGGCAGTCAGTAATAATTTCATTTCCTGCTTACAAAGGGAGGTGACTCTGGTCAACTGGTCTTCGTGTGCTGCTATCAGCTTACTCCTGTAAATGGATGAGAGAGGGAGAGTTGGAGTGTAATATCTACACAAACAAGGTTATTTCGGGACTAACATCTTTCACAATGATCGCATGTGCAGCCCGAGGGCGGAGACTGAACTATCCCTCAACCTTTCGGTTATCGGGGATTTCACTTGTATAACAGTTCCCCATCTTCCTTGTATGTCATTCGGTATGAATAGATTTCATATGTGATCAGATATTATGTAATTATTCTTGTATTACAGACCATTTAATTGTGTGTTACGCATGCGTGCGATTCAAAAGGATATGAAAAAATCTTTTCGGCGCGTTAGGGGCCCCGCGATTTCTAGTCAAGCCCAGGGCCCCACTCCGGTTAAGCTGGGCTTTGGGGAGCACTGTACATGCCTAGTTCTATAATTGTATCACATTGTAAACCTACCGTGAATCTGATGATTCTGCCTTGACTCTGGTTAGATTCACAGATTCCCATGGACGACTGTTTGAAACTGGTTTAGGTTGTAGGACATCTTGAGCAGCAGTACAGGTAGTGACAGACTGCGAGACAGGTTTGGTAGTTAGTGGTTGGGGATGTATGGGAGAAAACATAGAGCGTTCCGATAACTTATCAGGTGGTCCTCCTTCTGCACCTGCTGCTCCATCTTCATCGATTCTCGAGGAATAGGGTTTTAGTAATTCCGTTTGAGAATCATCTCGTGGACTGACTATAACGTCCTTCATTACAGGAGAAGAACTGTCCGTGGTGGAATTTGATAAAGTTTTTTGTTTCGTATTATTATCGGATGTCTCCGTTATTTTTGTGTCCTGAATTGCCATGTTGCCACTTCCAAGAGATTCATCTGACAAAGTTCTTCTCCGATCGAAATTCAACTCCCTTATTGCATTCTCTTCGTGAGGTCGACCTCCAGCAGCTGTGGTAAAAGGAGTTGGAGAAGGATTGGATCTAGATGCTCCACTACGAGATAAGTACTTAAAAAAGTCTGCCGGATCAGGAGCTGTTTGTTTTTTGTTTTGCAAATGGAGAGCTAGCATCGGGTCACTCTTTTCCTTCCGTAGACTATCTGATTTTGGTAATTTATATGGACCTTGACCTTGGTCCGAATGGCTTGCACGTACACCGTCAGAAGAATCATCGCTATGGGCAGGTGATTTGGGTACAGGACTGGTGGATGGAAGGGAATCAGCCTTTTTAACTCTTAATTTCAAGGCCGGTGGACGTGACTTCGGAGACAATGGGGGAGTTCTTGATTTAGGGGACAAAGGTGGTGTTTTAGATTTTGGGGACAGAGATCCACTTCTTGGAGATGGCGAAACATTTGTTGATGCCGGTTTCCTTCTGGCTTCTGTTTCAGGTTTCAATGGAGATCGTTGAGAAAATATTGTCAGATCACTACTGTGAGCGGGCATGACAGCTGGAATATTTGACAGTTGATTCATGGTCCCATTTCTTGGCGTCAGATTACCGTTACCTTGTTTGGGTTGATTTTCCATCGATGATCCCCAAACATAAGGTTGTGGTAAACCCATGGATTCAGGAGCAACCGATGCTGGTGGTGGAGGTTGTTGAAATAATTGTTTTCTTTTGGTACGATCTTCAGCTACAGGTTTGCCAAATAGTAAATCGTCTTCAAAACTTTCTACAACGGACAAGGGCATGTTTGGTCTTGTAGTATGTGGCTTGGGCTGGGATGTAGAAGGAGTAGGATTTATTGATGAAACTGAACTTGGCTTAACTTGATTGGTCTGCGTAAAGTAACCAGGGCCGAAAACAAACGATGATTCTTCTTTAGGTTTCAACTGATATCCCGTCGCCCGTGTTCCTTGCCGTGAAGCATCCAACTGTTGACCTCGGGTCATTTCATTTGGCTGAGCATTTTGAAACATCTTTACTCGTGCTCCAGGAAAATGAACCGGGTCTGGTTCTTGATCTTCAGCCGGTCCCCAGGCTTGAGCAGCAGGAATCTGAGAAGATTGACCAACTTTTGAACTATAGCTTTCTCCATTTTTGTTTAGGTCATTCATTTGATCAACATTATTAAAATCTGAAGTAGGAAAATCAAATTCGGTGTCGGTAGAGCGCACTATCGCTAAGTTAGGCATGGCACCCTCGTTAGCTTTTGGTAAAGTCATATTGTTAGAGTTAGAATCTGTGTCCGTGTGATCCGATTCACTAGCCGAGGCCTGCGTTTTAACAACAGGAACAGAATAAGGATTATAAGATGCAGACGCTGAAGCTCCCGAATAAGCACTGGTAGCAGAATATGAAGCAGATGCCCCGGCAGACGGTTGTTTTGGGCTTGGTGAATATCGTGCCGTTTCTTTCATCTTTCTTGGAATATCACCGAATCTTGATGCAACAGTAGCACTACGATTACTTTGTGACCTTGTAGGGGACGACGATGATGATTTGTGTTTTGAAGACTGACCCCTTACAGACTTCCTCTGAGGATTATGACCCCTGATAGGTGTTTCTGAAGGATCTATTTGAAATTCTTGATGCCTGTGGGACGTGTGTCTTGTCATCTGTGATTTCATGGGTGTGGACGAGGCCAAGACGTTATGTGGATTGAACACAGATGGGGCGGTGATCGGGATATTCATTAAAAGGTTCACAGTTTGACTGATATTGGTATTCTTCGAATCTCTTTTCAGTTCCTTTACTCTTTAAAAAAAATATATAAATCAATATCAAGGATACATTATGGGATATTAGATAAAGAGCTAGCAGTTCTCACTACTATAATAGTTAAATAATAGATAATTTAAAGGGGATATGCTAAAAATTGAACAGCAGATCGGATTCAAATCCTAAATCAGACACATAAGATGACATCAAAGTTGATTAAGGTCTTTTGATGTTAATAAATGTCTAATTAAAAGTTTATATAACATTTCAGACCTAACTCGACACAAACTAGGTCCTTTCGGGACTAACAAATGGTTCATTTTTATTTCAATAATTTGCTTGCGTGTAGGGGTCTTTAGCAGTGGGAGGAAACCAGAGGATCCGGAGAAAACACACAAGGTTGGACAGTCGACCCTACTCCTTGTCACGTACAACCGGGGAATCGAAACCAAACCAGTTGACTGAATCAAAGACCTTATGATACAACGCGCTCAAGCTAACCATTTGGCCATCCAACCCGCCTTTCAGTGAAGGGAACTTTAGCAGTGGAAGGAAACCAGAGTACTTCTACAACACGGAGGAACTTGAGCAGACTATCCTACTTCTTGTCATGTACACAGAGAGAGAAATGGGGTTTAACGTCCACTCGACACAAACTAGGTCATTTCGGGACTAACATATGGTTTAATTTTTATTTCAATAATTCGCTTGCCTTATGATACAGCACGCACGTGCTAACCATTCGACCATCCAACCACCCGTTGTCATGTACAAGCTAGGGATTGAACCCATGCCACTTGACTTGATGACAGACCTTATGATCTAAAGCGCATGCCTCTACTATCTAAGCCTAACCATATTCTTCTATGATGTCCGTATGAGAGAAGTTTTAAATTTATTACCTCAAATACAGGCTAACAAAGTAAAATGAATAATAATAATAATTAAATAAAGTTATTATTATTATTATTATTATTTAACAAAACTGATGAAGAATATCTTACCTGTCAGCATATCTGAGAGTGTTGAGTGTATTTTCACACGCTGATTGAGTAGGGGAGATATTGGCTATCATACAAGTTTTAGAATTTCCAACAAAGGAATCTTTTAAAATATGGGTTAATTTACTCTGTCGAAATGGAGTATGCCGTGAATCTTGATCTATAGAACGGATACATTCCTTCAACTGTAAATAAAATAACAGAATCATTCAACCTACTAGAAAGAAACTTGAACATCAAAAGGGGTTGGATGGGGAATAGAGTAAAGGGGAATTATAAAAGCCAGGGGACGTAATATTAGCAATTTAAATACCGGTAATTAATTATTGTTAAAGGGACAATAACACCCTTGCTGGCTTGACAGCTCTAGAAAATAAAAAATAGCCTTATTCTAAGTACTAGATGTGTTAGTGTCCTACCTGTTGTATAAATTATCTATTAAATCCTATTTTACTTGTCCAGAGGGTTCAAAAATATTTTTAAATCCCAGTAACATTTGAAAAGCTTTACGTCAGACTTTTCAAATCATTTAGTTGAATTTTTTCAGTTTTTTAAATTAGGTGTGTTAAGATGAAATTTGTATCATCAATTAATTGAAATATTGTAAAATAGTACAATTTGTTGACCAGAATAAAGATTGGGACATATTATTCAGTTACAACAAGAGTGGTATTGAGCCTTTAAGTATATTATAGGACATACAATCATAATAAATATCATATTCCAACCGACATGCTTTTTATTTAAAGGGGTTTAGGTATGATTAGATAAAGAGCTGACAGTTCTCGCTATAATAGTTACAAAATAGATAATGAAAATAAAATATGCTGAAAATTTCAGTCAAATTGCTTCACTCTGAACCGAGATATTAGCCATTCAACTTTAGACTAGCCTCGAACATCATCACTAACTTTGGTGCTATAATAAACCAAGTAATGTTATCTATTTTGACGTTAAATCATCCATCACAAAATGTATTAAATCCACTAAATATTGCAGACTAATGAAGACATCAAGAGTTGATTATGGTCTGGATAAGTTAAATAATGTCTAATTAATAATTTAGATAACATTTCAGCCCTAAAGAAAGACCTGCAATAGACAGATTTAGCTCTTGTATAATGCATGTTTAATTGAGGGGGGATGAAGAGCCATGAATCATGATAAATACAACAAACACAGCTAAAAAAGGAGATTTTCTTGGAACTGGGCTAATGAAGACAGGCATATGCCATATAGTGTGCTATGAGGGATCTTTTACATGCACGCCAATATGTACACAGGGCGTTTTTTTGTACCATTCGAATGACTAGACAGCTGTCCTTGTTAGGCCCTCCGTCCTGAACCACTGACACGGGGAAATCGCATCGGAAAATCCTTACGCGTAGGGGTCTTCAGCAGTGGGAGGAGACCGGAGGACCAGGAGAAAACCCACAAGGTTGGACAGTCGACCCTACTTCTTGTCACAAACAACCAGGGAATCGAAACCACGCTAGTTGACTCAATGACAGACTTTATGATACAGCGTGCACGTGCTAACCATTCAGCCATCTCCACTCCCACATACTTATATAATAAAACATAAAGCTAGAACAGGGAATATAGACTCAGAGATATTAAGATTTTTGTTAGATTGATGGGGAATATATATTATAGACATTAAGAGTTCTTTCCTGTAACAACATATAATTATTCGGATGAGACAAAAAAAAACAAGGTACTGTGTACATATTAGCGTGTGTAAGAGAACCAATAAGAATAGACATTTCTTCATCTTTTTAATAACATATAATCATTCAGATGGGACAAAAAAAACAAGGTACTATTTATACATTCGCGTGCGCATAAAAGAAACTTTTACATTTGGATTTCGTAAAAAAAGTAGATATTTCTTCATCGTAACATTATATAACCATTTCAACTTTTGATTAAAATCAGGAAGCTTCGTTTAAAAATACCAAATTCAAAATATTTCAATGTGTTTTATACGGTATTTCATGTTTACGTTTTCAACAAAATGCTATTTCATCTATCAGTGAGTGATTATGTTATGGATTTAATTTTAAAATATCCTTTTATAAAAAAAAAGATATACACTGTTTAGGCATCATGGAATATTCACAAAGACAGGTAATTACTGTTGGAATAATATTGACATTAAGCAATATGTCAAGTAAATATGGCAAATATCAATCAAGTCTATTATTATTTTTTTTTTGTGGCAGTTATTATGAAACATGCATTATGCAAGAGCTAAATCTGCCTACTGCAGATCTTTCTTTAGGCTTCAGGTGTTATAGAAATTATTAATTATACCTTTATATACATGACAACCCTAAAATCAACTTTGTAGACCCACAGATGGCTTGGATACAGTTTGGATTTAAAAAGCTGTCCATTCAAAATTAAATCAATAAATGGCGGACCAAGCTAACATTTACCATTAGTCGCTGATGTCACTACAGGCAACTGGTGATGAAAGGCCTGTCAAGCGAGGCTACCGTAGCCATTGAGCATGTTAACTGATAATCGAGAATATGTGGGTGGAGTTATCGTCTGTCAATCAAACGATCGCCAATTCTTATAGATGGTGCAGACACATCTGATGCCTATTTCTAGTCCAAACTTCAAACAGTGACAATTCCGTTCAGAACAAAGTAATTTTACTGAAATTTTCAACATTTTTCTTTTTTTATTATCTATTTTTGAATTATTATAGTGAGAATGGTCAACTTTTTATAAAACTCTTAAAGATACATTATGTAAGATTTAGATAAAGAGCTAGCCATTCTTGCTATAATAGTTTGAAAATAGATGATGTAAAATGAATAATTTGAAAATTTATTTCAAATTACTCTATTGCAAGCGAAGATATTAGCCTTTGAAGGTTTGACAGACGTGTGCAATAATTTCAACCACCGTACTGGTTGATCGAAGCTAAGTCTCGGTCCTCCATATTTGATTAAATCAAAGTATCGCTGAACCATTCTAATCTATTCAATATCGGAGAAATCTGATGCCATCGAGAGTTGATTAAGGCCTGGATCAGTTAATCAATGTCTAATTAATACTTTAGAAAACATTTCAAGCCTAAAGAAAGACCTGAAATAGGCAGAATTAGCTCTTGTATGTTTAATATAGTAATATTATGTTAGCATTTGCAGTAAAAGATTATTGACTCTATTTTCTGAAGTTTAAAACGACCCAGTTCATTTCAAAAAGAATTAAGAGCATGGAGGCGAAGTTATTAAAATTATTAGAGACGGAAGCTGATTGATATTAATTTCTGAAGTTTACAACGACCTCTAGGACAAAAAAATGTGATTAATGTGCTTATGAAGACATACAGCTAGCAGACTTTGACCCTATTTTCTGAAGTTTAAAACGACCTCTGGTAATTATAACCCAGTTCATTTAAAAAAAGAATTAAGAGCACTAGGGTGAAGTTATTAAAATTATTGGAGATGGAAGATTATTGAAAATAATTTTTGTGCTTATACAAAAGACATACAGCTAGCAGACTCTGATTTTCTAAAGTTTAAAGGGGGGGTTGGATGGCTGAATGGTTAGCACGTGCGCGCTGTACCATAAAGTCTGTCATTGAGTCAACTGGCGTGGTTACGAATCCCCGGTTGTACGTGGCAAGGAGTAGGGTCGCCTGTCCAACCTCGTGGGTTTTCTTCGGGTCCTCCGGTTTCCTCCCACTGCTAAAGACCCTTACGCACAAGCGAATTATTGAAATAAAATTAAACCATATGTTAGTCCCGAAATTACCTAGTTTGTGTCAAGTGGACGTTAAACCCCATTTTTCTCTCTCTCTCTCTAAAGTTTAAAATGAACTCTGGTAACCCAGTTCATTTCAAAAAGAAATAAGAGCAATTGGGGTGAAATTATTAATATTACTGGCAACGGAAGCTTATTGAATGTGATTATTGTGCTTATATAAAAGACATACAGCTAGCAGACTTTGATTGATTTCTGCTCCTTCTAGTCGCGTCTGTTTATCGGTATCTGTTACATCTGCTGCCCTCTCACTTCCTGCTAAATCAATAAATGATATTCTGAAATAAAATGAATGTATATCTGTTTAATGCATGAATACCTAATACATGAAATATGGTGTTCTGGTAACACATGGTGTAGACGTAGACAAACTAAGTTTTTAAAAAACAATTACAGCAAGTTTAATTTAACAATATCAATAATCAATGTAAACATTCAAATATCCTTTAGTCATGTGAAAGACAAGATAGAGAGAGAGAGAAATGGTGTTTAACGTTCACTCGACACAACTAGGTCATTTCGGGACTAACATATGGTTTAATTTTATTTCAATAATTCGCTTGCGCATAGGGGTCTTTAGCAGTGGGAGGAAACCGGAGGACCCGGAGAAAACCCACGAGATTCGACAAGCGATCCTACTCCTTGTCACGTACAACTGGGGATTCGAAACCACGCCAGTTGACTCAATGACAGACTTTATATAACGTGCATGCGCTAACCATTCCGCCATCCCCACCCTCAACCCCAGTATCTTGGAACCAACTAACTAACTTTATGACACAGCGCGCACGCTAACCAATCAGCCATCCAACCCCCCGAAATGGAATGAAATGAAATGGGCTTTATTTAATGTCCTATTGTTCTGCTCCGATTTGGGCTAATGAAGACGGACATATGCCATAGAGTGTGCTATGAGGGAAATTTTGCCCGGACAGCGGCACTACAACCTACTCTTCTATCGAATTCCAACTGTCAAGGGATCTTTTACCTTCACACCAATGTGTACACGGGACCTCTGCTTTTCGTGCCATCCAAATGACTAGACAGCTGTCCTTGTCAGGCCCTCCATCCTGCATCACTGACAAGGTTGGGAACCATGCCGGAAAATCTTGATGAACCTTCTCGGCCGATGCAGGGATCGAACACCCGACCTCCAGGCTAGCGAGCCAGCATCTTACTCACTTAGCCACCAAGACCCCCCTCCCACAACTCAAAAGCCAAGCCAAGTGTGAAAATATGCCCACTCAACAGCTATCACTGTAATCCAGGTTTCATTTAATCTTGTGTATCTAGCACTTATTTCTTTCACATTCGTTTAATATCAAATCTTTCTTTAAAAAATCGTAAAAATCTTTTAAAATCACCAAAAATTATCTAATTTTTTACTTGTTTCCAGTTTAAAGCTGACTGATTAATTTTGATAATGAGTTTCCAATTTACAAGTATTTAATTTCCTGACCACTGTTCAAAAATTAATCATTATACATCAATAATCAATTGGGTTGTTTATTTTTTTAACAGCTACATTTGTATATAACGCAAAACAATCTGGTTAAACACAGATCCTATTTCGATACGTTTTTATAGTTCAAAATTTTGTTTTACTGGTCTTTACTGTTATCATTGACGTGTTCTGAATAGTGTGAGGTATTAGCCAATGAAACAGTCTGTTACGGCGAGCTTTAGGCGTGTTTTGCACGGAAGTGTGGGTAATCCACTAGTAACATCAATGCTGATTGGTTAATCAAATGTCTGACGTCATAGGGTCAAAAGCCGCTTGTATGACGCTGACGTGACCTATCGCAACAACCAGTCAGATCTTCATGTAGTGTAGGTCATCAAAAGTATAAAAAGAAAAAACGAAACATAGATCTGTAATCTAACCAGATTGCACACAAAAAAGATGATCCGGGATAGATCGGTCCATGAAAGGGTACACTATGAATAAGCAACAGCTTACTGTATTGATGAAACAGTCCATTGTTCTGGTATTCATAATAATATTGTAAATATTTTATATAGCTGATGGGGGATCACGTGGCTAAGTGGGTAAGACGCTAGCTCGCTAGCCTGGAGGTCGGGTGTTCGATCCCTGCATTGGCCAAGAAAGTTCATCCAGATTTTCCGGCGTGGTTCTCCCTTGTCAGTGATGCAGGACGGAGGGGCTGACAAGGAAAGCTGTCTAGTCGTTCGGATGGGACGAAAAACCGAGGTCCCGTGTATACATTGGAATGCACGTAAAAGATCCCTTGACATAAGAGTAGGCCGTAGTGCCGCTGTCCGGGCAAAATTTTCCTCATAGCACACTGTATGGCGTATGAGCCCAGTTCGGAGCAGAACAGTAGGACGCTAAACCCCATTTCATTTCATTTCATTTATATAGCTGATGAGATTTATACTGGTACCAACATGACTTACCTGCCCCTTCTTATATCAGAGTTATCTCTTAGTTCCATCTGTAGAATAGCATGAGATCGTGAGGAATCAGGATTTACACCTGTCGCACCTTTACTTCTAACAGAATTACCATATTCTAACACCTAGAGAGAGAAAGAAATAGGGTTTAACCTCCACTCGACACAAACTAGGGAGAGAGAAATAGGTTTGGTTTTTTTTTATAAAAATATTTATTCAGAAACTGATGGGATTCGGGAACAGGCAAAAAATATATAAACTCCTCTCCCGAGGGGGTTTAACATCCACTCGACACAAACTAGGGAGAGGGAGAGAGAGAAATAGAGTTTAAGGTCCACTCGACACAAAATAGGTCATTTCAGGACTAACACATGGTTTAAGTTTATTTCCATAAATCGCTTGTGCGTAGGGATCTTTAGCAGTGGGGGGAAACCGGAGGACCCAGAGAAAACCCACGGGGTTGGTCAGGCGACTCTACTTCTTGTCACGCACAACCGGGAAATCGAAACCATACCAGGTGATTCAATGACAGGCCTTATGATACAACACGCACACGCTAACCATTCGGCCATCCAACCCTGCCATTGAATTCAAACAGAAGCTGGTTAAATGACAGGAGAAACAAGGATAACTCTCAGAGCACATCCAAACATTAAAATATCCGTAAAATAGCCAGACAAATGTCTCCATTGTTCAACAATAATTTCTTCCTCACCTCAACCAGAACTTTGGAATCAACAGCCTCTGTTTCCGTTAAACCAGCAATACAAACACGATGAGATCCATCCTCTCTTGCATGTAATCTAGTTTAATAATTTCATAAATTCGATATTTAAAGATACATTATGTAAGAATAGATAAAGGGCTGGTAGTTCTCGTTTATCTAGTTTAATAATTTGATAAATTAGTTATTTAAAGATTTAGATAAAGGTCTGGACGTTCTTGCTATAGTAGTTCAAAAATAGATTGACTTAAAGATACATTATGTAAGATTTAGATAAAGACCTGGCATTCTCGCTATAATAGTTTAAAAATAGATAATGTAAAATGAATATATGGAAATTTTCATTCAAATTACTTTATTCTGTGGGAAGTTATCTCTGTTTGAAGTTTTGACAAAATGTGGCACGGATTGTTTATTATCGTAACAACGGTACTTGTTATTCGAGACATATCATCGCTTTTCTATTTCTAAATTAAATCATAAAATGGCAGTCGTATCTTAATCTGCTTAAATCTCAGATTTCATTTGAGGCTTGTAATGTGAATAAATGTTTACAAAATAGCTTATATAATTTTTGAAGCCCCCCCAAAAAAGACCTACATTTAGCTCTTACATAATGCATCTTTAAATATGGGGGGTATCTTAATGGGGCATTATTGAACATAAGATAAAAAATCTCATAGTTCTCACTATAATGTAAAGGGAATAAAAAATAAATTATGGGAAAGCGGAAGACCCGGAGAAAACCCACGAGGTTTGACAGGTGCTCTGCTGCTCAACACTTCTTGTTGATTAAATGCAAAAAGGATAATCGAGACTATGTCTTTTTAATGTACCGATCTATTTTGGAATATTAGTTGATTTTACTGAAAAAAATAAATCAAACCGCTCAAAGAGAGAGAGAGAGAGAGAGAGAAGAGAGAGAGAGAGAGAGTTTAACGTCCACTCCACACAAACTAGGTCATTTCGGGACTAACACATGGTTCAATTTTATTTCAATCATTCGCTTGCGTGTAGGGGTCTTTAGCACTAGCAGTGGGAGGAAACCGGAGGACCCGGAGAAAACCCACGAGGTTGGACAGGCGACCCTTCTCCTTGTCACATACAACCGGGGAATCGAAACCCTGCCAGTTGAATCAATGACAGACCCTATGATACAGCGTGCATGCTAACCATTCTATTCGGCCATCCAACCCCCCAATGATGATAGAGGCTAGGCTTAAAATTCAATCGCCAATATCTCGGTTTATAGTGGATCAATTTGACTGAAATTTTTAGCATATTCCCTTTACATTATCTAGTGTTTAACTATTATAGTGAGAACTGCCAGCTCTTTATCTAATCCTCTATAAAGTCCCACCCCCACCCACTCATCCGCCAACCTTAACATGGTATATATTTTCAAAAGACTTTTGAGATATTTATGAACGATCTGACTATATACCTGTTTCTTTTATTCAGCAGATCGAAAAGTTGACCACAGTATATCTCGAAAAAACTGACCCACACATGTAGGCCCGAACCGTATTTACCACTCTGTATAAGGGAGAAGATATCATTGGCTGCTAGTAGATACAAACCAGGTGTCTGAGTATTGCCGATCATCGTATGTGTTTTACCGGCACCAGTTTGACCATACGCAAAACATGTAGCACTACCGCTGGAATAAAGAGAGAGAAATGAGGTTTAGGGTTTCTCAATCAAAATCCAATCTGATTAAAACACAGATCCAATTTTGTTTCGTTTTTTATAGTTCAAAATTTCATTTTACTTGTCTTTACTACACTAGGATCTGGAAGAGGTGTTATATAATGGGTTGCAACGCATATAATAATGTAATATGAATGTATATAAATTGATTTACATTCAATCGTTTCCGTTTTTACTCTAATTTCAAATCAGTTATGTTTGGCGAAATCTGCCAGAAGTCTCGATCCAATGGCAATCTCTAGCGTCTGGTTATTCCAGTCTACACTGATAGTATTTATTACGCATGCTCTCCAGATATGAATATGGCGTGATCGTTTGACATGACTTGTTGAATATCTCTAGACTCATTCTTCGAGTTCCTTGTTATAAATGGCACTGAAATGCATTATGGTACACAATTTGTGTACCAATGGTAAAGCGTTTATTTTGTCTTAAATATTGGATATATCTGTTATCTAAATTGACAAATAATTTGTGTTTTCAATTTTGAAGACTTTAGATGATATTGAATTAGAGACTTAGCTACTTTAACAACAGATATGAAAGTGTTATATAACAACAAAGGCAAATCTTTCAATAATTTGTTGACTTATGTGCACATTGATTATTTAACATAAAGTTAGTTTGTCCTGGGGGAAATTGATTTTATACTTATGGATAAATTTCTATTTACTCACCCATTAAACAAACAACTTATTAAAGGTCTTGTTGCTCGAACATACACATCTTCATTTGAACAATTTTCATCAAAAACTTCATCAAACAAAAACTCATGCTGAAATAATAAATTCATAAATGGAGTGTGGAGAGAGAGAGAGAGAGAGAGAGAGAGAGAGAGAGAGAGAGAGAGAGAGAGAGAGAGAGAGAGTCGGTCCTCCACTAGCCTCAAACTAGGTCATTTCGGGACTAACATATATATGGTTTAATTTTTTATTTCAATAATTCACTTGCGTGTAGAGGTCTTTAGCAGTAGTGGGAGGAAACCAGAGGACTCAAAGAAAAACCACAAGTTGGACAGGGAGGCGACCCTACTCCTTGACACGTATAACAAGGGAATCGAAACCACGCAAGTTGACTCAATGACAGATCTTATGATACAAAGAGAACGTGCCAACCATACAGCCATACAGCCATCCAGCCCCCCTCCCCCAGATAAACAAGAAGAAAAACAAGATGAGTAGAGCTTGGGGCCTGATTCCTTCTCCAAAAACACCTGTATACAGGCTTACCTGTAATGTGTAGGGTTTTAAATCCACAGCAAGTTTAGGTTCATTGACTGTCAACGTGGTTGTACTTTCAGCTAATACTATGTCTTCATCTACAGACTTTGATTCTTTTTTCGTCAAAGGTCTTTTCCGAACACAAACACGTATCCGTGCTTCACCGGAATGACGTGAAGATTTATGTCTTTTAAATATTTTAGATTTAGGAACACCGTAATTATATCCTGAATCGTGCTTAACTCTTTCTAACGGATTTCTACCTTGTTTGGGTGTGTCAGTTCTACTGGGCAGTCTCACAGGTAGTTCCTCTTCGGAGAGAGACTCTTCGCTTGATTCCTCGGAACTCGTTTCAGCCAATAATTCGATCATATCTAAATAAGATGTAGCGGAAAAGTTGGGTGTTCTATCACGAACAGTTACATCACGTGTAATTTCTAGTCCTCTACCACCGATACTTAAACTGTCTCTTATAGATTCTGATGATCGCTTTGGTTGCTGAAAGTAATAGAAACAATTTGATTAAAGAGGCATGATGCAAGAGCTAAATCTACCTATTGCAGGTCTTCCTTTAGGCCTAAAATGGTATCTAAATTATTAATTAGACATTAATTATCCAGACCATAATCAACTCTCGATGCCATCGCTAGTCTGCGATATTTGGCAGATTGGAATATATTTTTTTTTTTTTAAAATTAAAAGTAAAAATTGATAAACAAGACTTTGTTTTTTAATCTACCGACTTCAGTCATGATCAAGGTTAGCCTAAAGTTCAAAAGCTAATATCTCGGTTTAGAGAGGAGCAATTTGACTGAAATTTTCAACATATTCTATTTACATTATCTATTTTTCAACTATTATAGTGAGAACTGCCAGCTCTTTATCTAATCTCCCATAATGCCCCTTTAACAATTGACTAATCTGAATAAATGAAGAGATACACAAAAGATAATTATGAATGAAGTCTACTGATCACATCACACCGAAAAGGTGATTTTACTATTTGAATAACTATTGAGAAATAGTGAATCTTTCAAAGTGCCATATTTTCCTTAAATGTTTATTTTAATTGAATTAGTATATTAAATATTTCCTACTGGAGACAAAAATCTGATTAATTTCCATTAGCTTTTAAACTGACATCAAATAACAAATACCCAAAAATGAGTTGGAATAGCAATGACCAAGTGATTACTTAAAGGAGTTAAATCGCTAATATTTGGGACCTAGAAATTGATACAAATGGTACGCAATGCATATAATAATGTAATATGAATGTATATAAACTGATTTACTTTTAATCTTTCCCGTTTTTACTCTAATTTTAAATCAGTTATGTTCGGCGAAATACGCCAGAAGTGTCAATCAAATGGCAATATCTAGCGTCTGGTTATTCCAGTCTACACCGATAGTATTTATTGCGCATGCTCTCCAGATAAGAATATGGCCTCACGGTTTGACATGACTTGTGGAATATGTCTAGCCTCGTTCTTCGAGTCCTTTATTACAAATGGCACTAAAACGCATTACGATACACGATTCGTGTACCAATGGTAAAATGTTTATTTTGTCTTAAATATTGGATATCAGAAGCCCATCTTTTCACCATACGATAAGAACACCAATGTTGATTTAAATTGACAAATAATTCGTGTTTTCAATGTCGAAGAGAGAGAGAGAGAGAAATGGGGTTTAACGTCCACTCGACACAAACTAGGTCATTTCGGGACTAACATATGGTTTAATTTTATTTCAATAATTCGCTTGCGCGTAGGGGTCTTTAGCAGTGGGAGGAAACCGGAGGACCCGGAGAAAACCCACGAGGTTGGACAGGCGACCCTACTCCTTGTCACGTACAACCGGGGATTCGAAACCACGCCAGTCGACTCAATGACAGACTTTATGATACAGCGCGCGCACGCTAACCATTCAGCCATCCAACCCCCCTCAATGTCGAAGACTTTGGATGATATTGAGTTAGAGACTTAGCTACTTTAAACATGCAAATACAAATTTCAGCAATCTGATTACAATACAGATCTATATTTAGTTTCGTTTTATACTTCCGATAGCCTACACTACATGAATATGAAGATCTGACCAGTTGTAGTGGAAGGTCGTGTCCTTTGTAATATGAGCGATTTTGACCTTATGACATCAGACATTGATTAATCAATCAGCGTTGATGTTTCTAGTGGTTTACCCAAAGTTCCATGCACCTCACGCCAAGAAGTTGCCGTAACAGACCGTTTCATTGGTTAATCGCTTACATCATCCAGAACGAGGATTATATAACAACTTTTCAAGATCCTAGTGTAGTAAAGACAAATGAAATGAAATGAAATGGGGTTTAACGTCCTACTGTTTTGCTCCGAACTGGGCTAATGAAGACGGGCATACGCCATACAGTGTGCTATGAGGGAAATTTTGCCCGGACAGCGGCACTAAGGCCTACTCTTATATCGAATTCCAACTGTCAAGGGATCTTTTACGTGCATGCCAATGTGTACACGGGACCTCGGTTTTTCGTCTCATCCGAATGACTAGACAGCTGTCCTTGTCAGGCCCTCCGTCCTGCATCACTGACAAGGGGAAACCACGCCGGAAAATCTGGATGAACTTTCTCGGCCAATGCAGGGATCGAACACCCGACCTCCAGGCTAGCGAGCCAGCACATTACCCGCTTAGCCACCGTGATCCCCGTAGTAAAAAGAAGAAAAACAAAATTTTGAACTATAAAAAATGAAACGAAATAGGATCTGTGTTGTAATCAGATTGATTAAGTACTCAGAGAAACAAACTTTCTTTAATACCTGTGAATAGTCTGAAGCACTTCTTGATGAGGATCGAACACTTCTTCCAGCTGAAGCTGATCTATGTAACTGTGTTGATGAAGGTCTACTTGAACTATAATGGACAGATCTAACAATACTTATTAACTCTTCTAAACGTCTCTTGTCATCTAACGATGTTACTCCCATCGCTGAACACTGATCTGAAGTCAGGTTGGCCAAACCATCTGACCTTGTGATGCCATTAGCTCGAAATGTTGGATAGTATTTCTCTAACCTTGCCTCCCTCAAACATTCATATAATGTACCCATTTTGAGGTGTCACTCTGAATAAGAAAGACAATCAATCAAAGAATGATTTGTTAAAAGCATAATTTTTTCCTGTTTCTTTTGAATTACCGGTATTCCTTCTTGGTTAAAAAGAAATCCATGCCTTCACTCAAATTCAGGTTTATCTCTTGACTTAGGGTTTACCAGTAAGCTTACTAATCTAATAAACTCAGTATGAATAGATACATGTACGGTAGCCTAGATTCCATCATCAGATGTGACTTTAATTAAAATGTTATCTTTCTCATTGATTTTTACCCAGTATATAGTATATATATACAGTTCATTAGATTGTGATTTCATCAATAAATAATGAATCAGGGCCTCACAGTCTTGAGAGAATGTTGTTAGCAAGTCTATCTTTTCTGAGAAAGTAATGACAAAAATAGGCTTACTGTAAGATCTAAATTTTGTGCTATCACTTTGCATAAACAATTATAATTAAAATATCTATACCACTCCCTAACGACACCTACCGCTTATAGTACCGATATCCACAAATCGTCAAACAATGAAAATGACAGAAAGATGATATCACATCTAACATTAGACTCTCTGATGTACACAGACTATGCATGGCAATTTTCCAAGAATTTCTATAGACCAAGAGATGTCTAACAAAGAATATGTAAATATTGCTTGCAAAATATTATTATACCGTAATCATAAATCATGTAGCCTAACCTACCGTAAGCTTACTCAATATCATACTAAAACTAACAAATTTTTAAGTGCTCTATTTCTTTTAAAATTTGTCAATTTAAAATTTATATCATTCATGGTTTATGACCTCTTTATCTTTACATCAGCAAAGGGGAGCAGGTGGATTCAAGTCAACTTTTTTTGTCTTTGGATTATCCCAAAAAAGTTTTTTTGTACAAGAAATCTACAATAATTCACATCTATTCAATAATGGTATACCTTTATTTGTCCATATACCATCTACATCAATACATATCCCACTGCTTAGCTTGGTCGACCCATAAAAATCCAACATCACAGTTTCAAGATTGGACATGCATGTTCAACATCCTCAGATTGGTTAATTTTTGCTCATGATTTTTAAAAAGAAATCAAACGAATCTTTAAAAGTGATGAGTTGAAAAAATAAGGAAACCGATTAAAATACAAAAATCAAACAAATTGGATCCCAAAATAGCCACTTTAAACTTTTTTAATTGCTTTATTCGATGAATATTATATTTTTACTAAAATGTTTGGTTAGCAACACTCCATTTTGAAAATCGCGCCCCCCAGGGAAGACCATCGATTGTCCAGACGTAAATAATCACTTGATGATCTAGACTATTCCGAATACTCTAATTTCTACAAAATATAGACAGATGCCACATTTTTTTGAACAAGTCTACAAATAATAATCTATAAGAATTTATTTCGAAAAAAAAATTAAATTCTAAGCTAATTTCATTGAAAATCTTGTTCAAAAGCAATGACTATCGAAAGTTATACTCTACTTTCGTTTTGTTCTTTAAAAAAAAAATACTTATAACGCATGCGCTGGTTATCGGAAGGAGGATTTTCTGAAAAGTGACGTTACGATGTTGAAGCTTTAGTTTGAACTGTTATTTAGCGTTTTAATTCAACTGATCAGATATTTGTACTCATATTGTTCTGCACTATTGTTTATTTGGACAGATTATTAAAATGTAAGCCAGTGTTAGCATTCATACCAATATTATTTATCATAGTATTATGTTTTGTTTTGCTTGACTAGTTAAGTAATTTCACTGTTCGCATTCAGAAACAATGATTCACGATCATACCATTTGGGCAATTCAGAAGCTTGTCACCTTATTTTTAAATATTTCCGGAGTTTTATAAATCATAGCCGGTCTTTTAAATCAGCTATTGCGTACTTGAAAAAGAACGCTGCAAGAGCAAGTTTAGAAACTTTGGTTTGAGGCATTAGGCCCAGCATGGAATCTGTGTAGGCCCTATCTTTAGAGTTTAGGATCATCTTTCAGAGAATCAGTCTAGTTCAGCTCTAAACAGGTCACGTTTACACTAGGTTAGCACTGAACGTAGGTCTCATTACTCTCGCCCTGTACGTTCAGGAACCGCCCTATTGAATCCTTGTCGAAAAGCTTTCAAACCCTAGTCAATTTTACTGGTCAACTTTTTACTGCTAAACGGTCACGTGTCAGTCCCTGTGAATGCCGGTACAGGTACAATGTAAAGGAACATTTTAGTGAGAAAATAAGACCTTGCTTACCACGCCAGAGTCAGTATGCCCAACACAACATGCTGTTAAAAATACGTCCCCTTCTGGTAAACGGATTGGAAGAAGCCATTAAAATCTAAATATGGGTAACGCACAAACTGGCTCTTTGTCGAAAATGTTTTTTCATCCATATCAATTTTACTGGGTAATTTGTTATGGCTTTAAGCTCGCGTGTCAGTCACTGTGATTGCCTGTACAGTGTAAAGCAGGGCTCACCAAACTAGGCCCGCCATTGCATGTTGAAAAAACCCATCAGGGTTGTAAAAATCCACTAGCCCGACAACAGGGGCTACCCAAAATAACTTGCGGGCTAGTGATCTATTTAGCCGTACTAGTTGTGGGCTATTGCCCTTTTACATATTCACCAGTTGAAATCAGGTTGATTTTTTTTTTATAAAAAAAGCCTCCATAATATTTTATAAGATTAGTTAGTGTTGACATAAATATTTAAAAACATACCATTGAATTTTAAATTTTGATTAATTAACACTGCTGCCCAACGATTGACTGTTACGCATTTCGCGTGTCACAATAATAAGGGGGGTTGGATGGCCAAATGGTTAGCACGCGCGCGCTGTAATCATAAGGCCTGTCATTGAGTCAACTGGCGTGGTTTCGAATCCCCGGTTGTACGTGACAAGGAGTAGGGTCGCCTGTCCAACCTCGTGGGTTTTCTCCGGGCCCTCCGGTTTCCTCCCACTGCTAAAGACCCCTACGCACAAGCGAATTATTGAAATAAAATTAAACCATATGTTAGTCCCGAAATGACCTAGTTTGTGTCGAGTGGACGTTAAACTCCATTTCTCTCTCTCTCTCTGTCACAATAATAACTATGTGCGCCGCAAGCCAGTCATTTTATGTATATTCAGTGCATTGTATTGAACAAAATATTTATCCGACCTGCGCTTTGCATTCTTTCAGTTATATCAAATCCACTATGAAAAAAAGTTTGATGACCTCTGATGTCACGGAACATTTAAATGAGAAAAAAAGATGTTGCTTACCGCGCTAGAGCCAGTATGACTGACACAGCACCTTGATAGAAACAGGTGCCACTGCCAAATAGTCTATTCCATGCCATTACAGTCGTTTAGGAACTTCGCAAACATGAAGACAATACAAAATTTAAAGATACATTATGGGAGATTAGATAACGAGTCGGCAGTTCTCACTATAATAATTAAAAACTAGATAATGTAATGTCAGTTTACTGAAAATTTCATTCAAATTGATCCACTATGAACCGAGAATTAAACGATTGAAATTTCCACCTAGACTCGATCATCATTACTAAAGTCAGTACAATAAACAGCATAGTCTCGATTATCCATTTAATCATTAAATCGTGAAGGAAAGTTGTGCAGTAAATTGGCTCATAATCCAATAAAGATTGCAGGCTAGCGCGATGCCATTGAGAGTTGATTATGGTCTAGATAGGTTAATTAACGTCTAATTAATAATTTAAATAACATTTCAGGCCTAAAGAAAGACTTGCAATAGACAGATTTAGCTCTTGCATAATGTATGTTTAAGAAACCAGGGAAAAAAATTATAATCTAGCAGGGAGATATAGATAAGATATTTCAAAATACCATAATTTCATTGCCTGGTAATTGTTGTTTTTGTTTTCACAGATTTTTAATAAATATGAATCCAGTTTGATTTAAGAAGACATCCGATATAGGATGTCAAACTCTCATCAACCATGAACAATGAAAATATGAAGAAAACAAAAATTGTGGATGAGTTTGTCAAAAATACTCTCACAGACAGACACCTTGCACAAGAAATTCTTGAAAGTAAGAAACATTATTTAAGTTTGTAGGGGGGTTGGATGGCCAGGTGGTTAGCATGTGTGCGCACTCATAAGGTCTGGCATTGAGTCAAGTGCAATTTCGTGGTTTTGATTCCCAGGTAGTACGTGACAAGGAGTAGGGTCACCTGTCCAACCTTGTGGGTTTTCTCCGGGACCTCCGGTTTCCTCCCACTGCTAAAGACCCCTATGCGTAAGCGAATTATTGAAATAAAATTAACCCATGTGTTAGTCCCGAAATGACCTAGTTTGTGTCGACTGGTTGTTAAACCCCATCTCCCTCTCTCTATTTAAGTCTGTACTCTTTGAACAGTTTGATTTATGGTTTTTAGTCAAATCAACTAATATTCCATAATAAATAAACATTTATGGAATATATGTTCATATAAACATTTCACTATTTTTTTAGAATAATTCAAATATTAATCATGTATCATGTACTCAAATAATAATAATGAATTTAGAGTATTTAAATTTGAATAGTAAATTCAACATTTGATGTGACTACTTGTGCCATTGTCTTGTAAGCTTATCCTAGACCAGTATAACTTGCTACTATCTGAACCGTCGTAAATTTTAAACAGATTTCTTAGATTATAAACAAACTACTTAACTTTGGTTATTATAAACTTACCTGTGTGTTTGAAATCAACTCCCGTTCAATAAAATCCATTGTCATTAATCTCAACCAATAAAAAAGTTCTCTTAAGTAGTTTGTTCATAATTAAAGAAATCCATTTAAAATTTAAGACAGTTCAGAAAAATAAAAAAATGAAATAGAGTTTAACATCCTACTGTTCTGCTCCAAACTGGGCAAATGAAGACATGCATACACCATACAGTGTGCTATGACAATGAGGGAAATTTTGCCCAGACAGCAGCACTACAGCATACTCTTATATCGAATTCCAACTGTCAAGGGATTTTTACGTGCACGCCAATGTGTACACGTGACCTCGGTTTTTCGTCCCATCCGAACGACTAGACAGCTGTCCTTGTCAGGCCCTCCGTCCTGCATCACTGACAAGGGGGAATCACGCCGTAAATCTGGATACACTTTCTCGGCCAATGCAGTAATCGAACACCCGACCTCCAGGCTAACAAGCCAGCGTCTTACCCACTTAGCAACCGTGACCCCCAACACAGTAGTACATGTACCAGTATATATACATAGAGCTGAGGTATGGAGCTTATATCTTATCAAGTTGTAACCTATTTTCCAACGTGGTTCCCCCTTGTCAGTGGTGCCAGAAGGAGGGCCTGACAAGGACAGCCGTCTAGTCGTTCGGATGGGACGGAAAACTGAGGCCCCATGTGTACATTGGTGTGCACTTGGTATTTGTAATTCAGTATAAAAGAAGGCCATAGTGCTGCTGCCCAGGTAAAATTTCCCTCATAGCACACTGTATGGTGTATACCCGTCTTCATTAGCCCAGTCGGAGCAGAACAGTAGGACGTTAAACCCCATTTCATTCATTATCAGTTGTAACCTATAGTTGAATGTTAATATCGTTATAGTTTATAGTTAATATCATTATATTTTATAGCTAATATCGTTATATTTTATAGTTAATATCGTTATATTTTATAGAGAATAACTGGGATTTAAAGAAAGCTTATGGCTCCATCGAGAAAATGTGCAAGGACCGAAATATGGCGAACCATCCCCGCCAAATAACAGGAAGTCATACTATTGGTAGAACAGGAGGGTTTGTAGATAGTCAGGAGTATAGTCGACCTGGATCTGGATTAGAGTCTGGTTATGGTATCCCGATATCGACACGGTCTTCCACGATCTCAGGCTCAGCTACTAATCCTTCTGTAAGATCGACAATTCCCAGGTTTCCTGTAGAACCATTACAGACTGATGGAATTCAGCAGAAAGTGCATGTCTTGCCTCCGTCAAATGAACGAATAATACCGATACAGGTGATATCAAGTAACACAACCTCGTCACCCAAACGACTTGTACAACAAAAAGCTGTGATTGAAGAACCACACCCATCTCAGGTCCAGCGATCATCACAAGCGTATAATATAGAGAAACCTTTGAAAGAGAAAACGCCCCCTAAAACCGAACAATCTTCAACAAGTACAAATAAACCAGGTAATTCATGTAATCACACGACTTAATCATTTATTCATAAATAGCATTTTATCTAGAAAAAACGGAATATGGTCCACACTGAAACGGAAAATAACGGAATTCAGAATGCTTAAAACAGAATTTGCCATTTTCTGAAGCGGAAAATCATCACCCCTGTACATTATATTTGAAATTTGTAAGATGGGACGTTCACACAGCATTCATCTTGTTCCTCATTTATAACCTGCGCTTAGAAATTGATAAGCAGGGTTTACAGGGCAATTTCAACAGTAAGGCTAGGTCTCTAGTTCACAAGGCATTCTCAGACTTAAGAATTTACTCAACTTTCAATCTCTGTTTATGAGAAATGTCTTTAATCCAGAAACACAAAACTGTACAACATTTTATAAGTGGCTATATTTTAGTTAAAATGAAGCGAAGAATTGTGAGTAAATTCTTAAGTCTGAGAATGCTTTGTGAACTAACTCATGGCCAGATATGGTCTTTGAGGTCTGGACAAATAAGTCTCCGGAAAAATATTTTGTTTTGTTTAAAATTTCAAATTTAGAGAAAGCTAGAAAGTATTTTTTGATGTTGAATTATCCTTTTCCCCCCAAGAAATAGGTAATGAAATGGGGTTAAAAGTCCTACTGGGCTAATGAAGACGGCCATACGCCATACAGTGTGCTGTGAGGGAAATTTTGTCCGGGCACGGGCACTATGGCCTACTCTTATATCAAATTTCGCCTACTAAGGGATCTTTTAAGGGGATGCCAATGTATGCACGGGACCTCGTTTTTTTCATCCCATCCAAACAACTAGACAGCTGTCCTTGTCAAGCCTACTGACAAGGGGAAACCTCGTTAGAATATCCCAATGAACTTTTTCGGCCAATGCAGGTATTGAACACGACACCTCCAGGCTACCGAGCCAGCGTCTTACCCACTTAACCACCGTGGCTCTATGGAAGTAGGAAGTGAAATTTGAATAAATGTTTACAAAAAACGGAAAGTCAAATTAGTGTTGTTTGCTATGTTAATTATTTTTTATCAAAAATAAATCTTCTATTCCGTACACTTGAGCAAATATTACGTACTTGAGCAAAAACAAGTCTGCCAGTCCGTACACTCGAGCTAATATTAAAGATACATTATGGGAGATAAGATAAAGAGCTGGCAGCTCTCCCTATAATAGTTAAAAACTAGATAATGTAAAGAGAATATACTGAACATTTCATTCAAATTGATCCACTATGAACCGAGAACTAAGCCATTGAAATTTCTGCCTAGCCTTGATCATCATTACTAAAGTCAGTACGATAAACAGCATAGTCTCGATTATCCATTTTATCGTTAAATTGTGAAGGAAAGTTATATAACTTGTGCAGTAAATCGGCTCATAATCCACTAAAGATCGCAGGCTAGCAATGCCATCTAGAGTTGATTATGGTCTGGATAGGTTAATTAATGCCTAATTAATAATTTAGATAACATTTCAGGCCTAAAGGAGGACCTGAAATAGGCAGATTTAGCTCTTGCATAATGTATCTTTAAGTACTTGAGCAAAAATAAGTGAGAGTGATATAACTTAGTGTATAGTTTCATGACATCAATACCTTGACTAAGTTTGATAATAAACATTTCCCACTAAAGCTAAGTAATTTCATTAGTCGATGCTTTGGGACAAGATAACTTTGATTCTAACTGATGGAGAGTGATAAAACTTAGTGTATAGGTTCACTACCACCAGTTACTTCAAAACCCGGACTGAGTTTGATTGTGAACATTTTATGCTTAGACTAAGTATAGATAATCAGTTTGATTGCTTGATACTTTTGAAAAAGAATAATGTGCAATTAATCAATTACATGTACATGTATGTCATCTATTTATTTTGGGATTTCGGCGGTGGACATCAGCCCCACGGTTGGCTTGTCTATATCAATAATGAATTAAACAATTTTTCTTTTCCAGAACCAAAATTAAAAAGAGGAATATCGAATATAATGGAGAATGCATCTCTGTTGACGGAAACAAGAAGCTGTGTATTACACGATATAGAAGAAGACAGTCACGATCATATGTATATATTAACCTTTGTCTTACCAGATTTAACTGTACATAATGATGGCTTCAGGGCTTTCTTACAGAAAGAATTAGTTGAAACTTCAACATTGGTTTCACTCGAACAAGCAGGTTTGTCACCATATAATAATAATAATAATAATATTGAATTGTCTTATATAGTGCTAGATTATGTCTGCTGGTTATTTCTAAGCGCTTGCTCAAATATTTGGTAAACAGATTTGTCTTTAGTGTTGACTTAAAACTTGTAAATAGAATTGTCGAGCGCATGTGTTGAGGAAGCTCATTCCATAAATAGGCACCGTGAACTGGTAAAGAGTATTTTCCATACAATTTATTATATCTGGGAACCAAAAGCAATGTTTTATCTGCTGAAGATCGCAAGTTTTGTCGCAAAGGAATAGTGAATGAAAAAAAGTTCATGCATATACTGTTGTGCAGAGGCAGAAAACATAGCTTTATGGATATCTCATAAACAGTACAAGATATATCTTAATGAAACTTTGTATACACATTAACCTATGATTACTAATTAGAATTCTAATAATTTTTGTTTCCCTGGAAACTGTTAAAGATTTACTGTATTGTACTTTTTAAACAAATCAATGTATTATATAGTAGTTTTGGTAATTAGAACTGTTTGTATGGAAACAAAGATTTTGGTATTCAATTTTTATTCCATAATCCCTTCAAAATATCTTTATGGAATTTTCTACACATGTCAACCTTTTGCTAAATTTCTCGGATTTAATCAATTCTGTGTTGCCATGGTATCTGATTTGATTTAGTTCTTGGTTGTTGTTGGGGGGTTGGATGGCCGAATGGTTAGCATGTGCGCGCTGCATCATAAGTTTTGTCATTGAGTCAGCTGGTATGGTTTCGATTCCCCCATTGTACGTGACAAGGAGTATGGTTGCCTGTCCAACCTCATGGATTTTTTCCGGATCCTCCGGTTTCCTCTCACTGCTAAAGACCCCTACGTGCATGCGAATTATTGAAATAAAATTGAACCATATGTTAGTCCCAATATGACCTAGTTTGTGTTGAGTGGAGGTTAAACCCCATTTCTCTCTCTCTCTCTCTCTCTCTCTCTCTCTCTCTCTCTTGGTTGTTTGTTGATTACAATAACACAGATATTATGTAGTATCCCTTTACCATCCAAAACATCTCCAAGGGCATGGGGAGAGAGAGAGAAATGGGGTTTAACGTCCACTCGACACAAACTAGGTCATTTCGGGACTAACATATGGTTTAATTTTATTTACATAATTCGCTTGCGCGTAGGGGTCTTTAGCGGTGGGAGGAAACCGGAGGACCCGGAGAAAACCCACGAGGTTGGACAGGCGACCCTACTCCTTGCCACGTACAACCGGGGATTCGAAACCACGCCAGTCATCTCAATGACAGACTTTATGATACAGCGCGCGCACGCTAACCATTCAGCCATCCAACACCCCCCCCCCCCCCAAGGGCATGAATTGATGATGACTTGTTAAGTTGTTTGTTTTTTGATAAGATAGTAATATAATGGTGTTTAAATGTTGTTTAAAAGTTGTTTGTTTTTTGATAAGATAGTAATATAATGGTGTTTAAATGTTGTAGGTCGATTGAACTGGTGGGCGGAGATGAGAATATGTCAGAGGTTGTGGCCAATGGCAACTACTGGTGATGGTAATTGTTTACTTCATGCAGCTTCACTAGGTATAACTTTTTGTCTTATTCTTACAATTTACTAGTCAAATTTTGAACATTAAATTTTCCTGGCCCCAAGTTCACAAAGCATTCTCAGACTTAAGTTAAACATGCATTATGCAAGAGCAAAATCTGCTTATTACAAGTCTTTCTTTAGGCCTGAAATGTTATCTAAATGATCAATTAAACATTAATTAACTTATCCAGACCATAATAATATGCAAAAATTTCACCCGCTTGTTTCTCGGCTCATAGTGGATCAATTTGACTGAAATTTTCAGCAAATTACCTTTACACTATCTAGTTTTTAACTATTATAGCGAGAACTGCCATCTCTTTATCTTATCTCCCATAATGTATCTTTAAGAATTTACTCAAAAAAATTGTTTGAATTATTTTAACTAAAATATAGCCCTTTATAAAACTATGTATGAAATACATCAATAAGAAACTATGTGTAAAGTTTTGTGTTTCTGGATCAAAGATATTTCTTATAAACAGTGATTGAAAGTTGAGTTCCAGTCAAATGGAAAAATTTCACCTCCAATAAACAAATCTGCCAAACTGAACAACTAGCATATGAATACAACAGCCCCAGGCGAATTTGGGACCCAGTAGAATTGGGTCCGGGTGAATTTGGGCCCCGGGCAAAAGCCTGATATCCTGGCAGTTCATAATAATAACAAAAATAAATGTTTGTCGTTTGAAATATATGTGAATGAATTCAACAAAGAATTAAGTTCAAGTTAATCCAATCCCCGGTTGTACGTGACAAGGAGTAGGGTCGCCTGTCCAACCTCGTGGGTTTTCTCCGGGTCCTCCGGTTTCCTCCCACTGCTAAAGACCCCTACACGCAAGCGAATTATTGAAATAAAATTAAAACCATATGTTAGTCCCTAAATGACCTAGTTTGTGTCGAGTGGATGTTAAACCCCCATTTCTCTCTCTTAAGTTACTCCTCTTCGTCTTCAAAGCGTTAAACGGCCAAGCTCCATCTTATATAAAAAGTCTTGTCGAACCCTATACTATCAGAAGAAATCTCCGTTCTCAGAAAAAACATCTTCTAAAATCTCTAGCCATTAACTTACAACTTGGAAAATGTGCCTTTTCTTATGCTGGTCTTTTTCTATGGAATAGACTACCACAATCAATTAAACAATCACATTCTGCGGGCCATTTCAAATCTCAACTCAAAACCCTGATCTGTAAATAATCAGTGAATATAAAAACCAACAGCGCCTTAGAAACTGTTTTTCTCAGTATTAACGCGTTTTATAAATGACGATATTATTATTATTAATTGATTTATTTATTTTGTAGCTATGTGGGGAGTACACGACCGAGAATTAATATTGAGGAATGCTCTGTATGATCTGTTAACCAAAAGTACTTATAGAGATGCGTTATATAGAAGATGGCGTTGGCAACAAACTATTACTAATAAAGAGGTTATTATCCTACATTATTTCTAGGGGTCAAGGTGGCTAGTTTGGAGGTCAGGTGTTCGATCCCTGCACTGGCCGAGAAAGTTCATGTTACAAAAAATAGAATAAAACAACGTAGTATATTGTGATTGGTTAATTTAACAGAAAAATAAAAGTAGAAATCTTGCGAGACACATGAAATTACTTGGAACGGAAGCGTGCCATTTTTGACGAATTTCTGAGAAAAGATTTTATTTTGATGGCATATTCTCAGATTGATGATAATATTTTGAAGGGGAGAGGGGGAGGTTTTTAAATAAAGAAATAAACAAGCAAAGAAACATCTACAAATATTTCGATTGGAATGGTGTAACTTAAAGTAGTTTTGTTTTAGACAATAGTGTGTGCGACATCGTGGAGAGACAGTAACTGAAATTTTTTACCTTCATCTGTACATAAGTCTAAGCAGAGTATAAGACGAAGGCCAGACTTCGGCGAAAAAAAGTATTGACTTGTATCCCTAAAAATACGGTATTAGCTTACTGTACAGACATTTTATATCAGTGACAAGTTAACACACGAGATTGAATCACTTATCCCCAATAACAAGTTGACCATGTTTTTATAAAGTTGTATCCGGTTTCCTCCCACTGCTAAAGACCCCTACGCGCAAGCGAATTATGTAAATAAAATTAAACCATATTTTAGTCCCGAAATGACCTAGTTTGTGTCGAGTGGACGTTAAACCCCATTTCTCTCTCTCTCTCTCTTTTATAAAGCTGTAACATTTCAACTTTTCAGTCTGGTTTAGTTTTTTCCGAATCGGAGTGGAATGCTGAGTGGGCAAATCTACTTAAACTTGCGTCACCGAAACCTAGAACCTTACCTGATCAAGAAAGTAATAGAAGACATAGTTGTTGTGATAGTCCATTAACGCAGGGGTAAAATAGTTTATTTATTTTCTTTAAAGGGATCGTTCGCACTTTGTATGTTCGTTGGTCTGAGGTGCTTACTGACCCCTTAACAACATTTATTAGAAACATTCATGTTTATTAAAAAGAGAAATGTATGTTAATAATGAATAAACTTTCATTCGTTATTCCATCAACAAGGGGGCCACTGTGGCAAAGTGGGTAAGACCCTGGCTCAGTGGTGCAGGACAGAGAGCCTGACTTGGTCAGCTGTCTAGTTGTTCAGATGGGACAAAAAAACGAGGTCCCGTGTATACATTGGCATGCACATAAAAGATCCCTTGGCAGTTGGAATTCGATATAAGAATAGGCCAAAGTGCCGCTACCCGGGTACAATTTCATTCCTAGCACACTGTATGATTTATGCCTGTCTTCATTAGCCGCGTCGGAGCAGAACAGTAGGAGTTTAAAGGGACAATAACACTCTTGCTGACTTGACTGCTTCAGAAAATAAATAATAGCCTTATTCTAAGCACTAGATGTTTAAGTGTCCTACCTGTTGTGTAAATTATCCATTACATCCTAATTTACTTGTCCAGAGGGTTCGAAAATATTTTTAAATCCAAGTCACATTTGAAAAGGTTTACGTTAGGCTTTTCAAATCATTTAGTTGAAATTTTCCAATTTGAATTAATTGGAATATTGTAAAATAGTACAATTTGTTGACCAGAATAAAGATTGGGACATATTATTCAGTTACAACAAGAGTGGTATTGAGCCTTTAAACCCCATTTCATTTCATTTTTCTATTTTTCTATTTTAGGTCTGATACACCGGTTGTTTATGAAAGCCTGGAGGAGTTCCACGTCTTTGTTTTATCGCATGTTTTAGAGCGACCTATAATCATTGTGGCGGATAAAGTTTTGAAAGATTCAAGTGGTGAGGCGCTGGCACCTATTCCGTTTGGTGGTATTTATCTTCCGTTCGAGTGTGGATCGCGTTATTATAGATCACCGTTACTGCTGACTTATGATGCTGCACATTTCTCAGCTCTTGTGCCAATGGAACAAGAAAATCCAAACCATCCACCAGGTAAATACATAATAGAAATAAAATGGGGTTTAATAACGTCCTAGTGTTCTGCTCCTACCGGGCTAATAAAGACGGGCATACGCCATACAGTGTGCTATGAGGGAAATTTTGCCCGGACAGCGGCACTATGACCTACTCTTATATCAAATTCCAACTGCCAAGGGATCTTTTACGTGCATGCCAATGTGTACACGGGACCTCAATTTTTCGGCCCATCAGAACTACTAGACAGCTGTCCTTGTCAGGCCCTCCTTCCTGCATCACTGACAAGGGGGAACCACGCGGGAAAATCTGGATGAACTTTTTCAGCCAATGCAGGGATCGAACACCCAACCTCCAGGTTACCGAGCCAACTGAATTCTGTGATGAGCATTTTCTGCTAAGGATAAGCAATTTGAAATTGTGATGCTTTGAAAAGTAATAACTTTGATTCTAATTAAGTGATGAAACTTAGTGTACAGTTTCATTACATCAATACCTTGACGATGTTTGTGGGGGGGGGGGGGATGGCTGAATGGTTAGCATGTGCGCGCTGTATCATAAAGTCTGTCATTGAGTCAACTGGCGTGGTTTCGATTCCCCGGTGGTTGTACGTGACAAGGAGTAGGGTCGCCTGTCTAACCTTGTGGGTTTTCTCCGGGTCCTCTGGTTTTCTCCCACAGCTAAAGACCCCTACACGCAAGCGAATTATTAAAAAAAATTGACCCCATGTGTTAGTCTTGAAATGACCTAGTTCGCTCTCTCTCTCTCTCTCTCTCTCTCTCTCTCTCTCTCTCTCTCTCTCTCTCTCTCTTCTCCTTCTCTTTGACCATGTTTGATAATGGGAGTTTTCTGCTTAGGTTAAAAAGAATGATAAGCAATGAGATTGTTGGGTGATTTATGACATGACAAAATATACACGTGTCATCAATTTATTATTGGATCGAGGCAGCGGACATCAACCTTACTGTTAAATGAAGATAAAGGAAGCAAGTCGCAAATTCAGGATTATCCACAGTCTTCAATATTGCAAATACGACTTACATTGATCAATTTAAATCGACAGTGAAAAGATGGACTTCTGATATCTAATATTTAAGACAAAATGAAAATTTTAAAATTGGCACACGTATAGCGTGCCAGAATGCTTTCAAGCGCCATTTGTAATGAAGCGACTTGATGAATGAGGCTAAACATATCTTTGCATATTTGGCCGAACATAACTGTTTGGAAATTAGAGTAAAAACAAAAATTGAATGTAAATGAGTTTATATATATTCATATTACATAATTTTATGCTTTGCGACCCATTTGTGTCAATTTCTAGGTTCCAAATATTAGCGATTTAGCTCCTTTAAGATATTAAAAACTCACACATTAGATCACTCAGAAATCCGCCCCCCCACCTCAAATTTGTGAGTTTTAAATTAAACATATTGGAGCGTGGTCTTTCTGTAATCACTGTAACCATAACAACTTAAACATTGACTTAACATAATTCAGTGGGCGATCAAGAAATGCATTACTGTGGACCTTTTCCCGTGATCTGTCAAACAAATAAGTTCCTTTCATATTGAATATTAAAATATGATTCTTTGCCTACAATTTTGATTGTCTTTTTCAGCCGCCATTCCTTTGGTTGATCCTGAATTTCAGCTACTTCCCATTCACTTTTATTTTGATCCTGGTGCTAAATGTGAGTGGAATAAACCGAGCAATAAAACTACTAGTGATACGTCCAACGAAGATAAATTAAATCTACTGCAAAAATTTATGGACGTGGAAAAACTTCCAATACCCAATTTTTACGGGGAGAATGATATGGAATCGGATAAGAATTCCATCGGTTCGTACGATTCGGATGATAATGTCGGCTGCGTCAGTAAAGGAGAAAAGAAGAAGGACGCTAAAGTAACGCAGCAGATGCAAAATATCGGGAAACAATTTGGTAGTATCGGAAAAACAGTGGGCAAAAAAATAAAAAAGAATTTCGGCAATTTTGGTAAAACAGCAAAAGGGGGTCAAGAGAGTGAAAAATCTGGTCAGAGGAAAGCTTCTGTAGGCAGCATTATTACACAGAGTACCAAGGTTATCACTACCATAGCAACCGCCGCCGATAAAGATCGCGTCTGGTGTGCTCGACTCTCGACCCAGCGCACGGAAAACCAGCAACTCATGGTTAAAAATTACATGCACAATGCTCGAGAAAGATATGACAAGGATCGGGAATTAAAACGTCAGAAAGGTGAAGAAATACGGAGTCGAGTTAACGAGATATCCAACAATGCCAACCAGAATATGTGCGTAACTCCAGGCTGTAATCTGTACGGTAGTCCAGATTTTGCATACATGTGTTCTAATTGCTATTCCCGCCAAAAATCTATAGCAGGCGGAAAACCACAGGGGATGTACAACAACAGCATACCTGGCCGTGGCCGACCAGCAAGCGACATTGACAGATATGGTCAAGCGTACGACGACACGCAAAAATACGGTAAATCCAAATTTTACGCCCCAGCCGATGATTTCAACAAGCCACCTGAATTAAAATCCAATCGTGTGAATGTTATAAAAAACAATCTGGACAGACCTAGATCGACAGATGATGTACGGACCTCAGAACAATATCGATTACAAGATCGTACTCCGTCCCCAGATTACGATAATGTTGATTATCCAGATGAAAGAAAGAAAGAGTTAGGGATGTCTAACGCACAGAAGTGTTTCTCCGCAGGTTGTTCTTTCTACGGAAAACCAGAAACCGACAATCTCTGTTCCGCATGCTATAAAGAAAAAAGAGATTCGTTGCTTAATAAGGCTAAAACTCTAACTAGAATATAGAAAATGCAATATAGGTTAAAGATGTGCAACATATTTACAATCTGATTCAAACACAGATCCTATTTCGTTTTGTTTTTTATAGTTCAAAATTTCATTTTACTTATCTTTACTACACTAGGATCTGGAAGAGTTATTGTATAACAGCCGTTCTAGTTGATGTGAGGGATAAGCCAATGAAACAGTTGATTACGACGAGTTCTTGGCGTGCTGTGCATGGAACTGTTGGTAAACCACTAGACACATCAATTCTGATTGATTAATCAAATGTCTGACATCATAGGGTCAAAAGCTGCTTTTATGACATCTGACGCGACCTTCCACTATAACCAGTCAGATCTTCGTGTAGTGTAGGTCATCGAAAGTATAAAAAAATGAAACGAAATATAGATGTGTATTTTAATGAGATTGAAGATATTTATGTTAATTATACACATTCAACGATCTACTTCAGTTGTTGAAACGTTAGTCTATCCTCCATAGGATTCAAAATGTTCTGTCTCAAGTTTTTATGTTTAAAAATTTCAAGTTGAACCAAAAACTTAAAAATATTTTTATATGCCAATATCTGATGTGGACATACAGTATACTGTAAAACAAGTAATTAATGCATCATGAAATTAATGCTGCATGACAAAAGTGCTTCATGAAATTAATGCTACATGACAAAAGTGCACAAGTAATTAATGCTTTATGACATAAATGCGTATTGAAATTAATGATATCTGACAAATGTATTAAAGTTGATGCAATCAAACAAATGCGAAAAATGCCCATTGATATTATTGCAACTGTACATGACGAAAATGTGTATTGAAATTAATGCTAACTGACATAAATGCGGATTAAAGTTAATGCTGACATAAATGCGTATTGAAATTAATCAACCTAACTTAATGCTCCCGAGGAGTAGGGTTGCCTGTCCAACCTCGTGGGTTTTCTCCGAGTCCTCTGCTTTCCTCCCACTGCTAAATTCAACCATCGGAAATGACCTTGTTTGTGTCGAGTGGATGTTAAACCCCATCTCCCTTGTATAGGTTTACATTAATTACTTGTCAAACAGTATTGCTGTCAACTGTGTCCATTATCCATCAACACGTACACTAAATGCAGGGTTCAGGTCTTAAAGAAATATTATGTAAGATTTTGATAAAGAGCTGACTGTTCTTGCTAGAACCATTCAAAAATGAATAATGAAAAATGAATATATTGAAAATTTCAGTCAAATTACTTTATTCTTGGCGAAGTTATGAGTGTATGAAGTTTGTAGCATAGATAGCCTTGATTGTCAAGTACCGTTGCTACATTAAAGATGCATTATGGGAGATTAGATAAAGAGTTGGCAGATCTCACTATAATAGTTAAAAACTAGATAATGTAAAGGGAATTTGCTGTAAATTCCAGTCAAATTGATCCATCCTGAACCAAGCTTTTAGCGATTGAATTTTCGGCCTAGCCCCGATCATCATTACTAAAGTCGGTAGTATAAAAAACATAGTCTCGATTATCCATTTCATGATTTAATTATGAATGGAAGTCAAACAGCAAATCAAAACCTAATGCAATAAACATCGCAGCCCAGCAATGCCATCAAGAGTTGATTATGGTTTGGATAATTTAATAAATGTCTAATTAATAGTTTAGATAATATTTCAGGCCTAAAGAAAGACCTGCAATAGGCAGATTTAGCTCTTGCACAATGTATGTTTAATATAGTCTTGATTATCCAGTTTAAATGTTAAATTATCAAATGGGACAGATTATGAGCTTGTCACGATAATAAATGTAATTTATATAACTTTAACAAATTTATATCATAATTTATGATCAACTTTTTTGAAACAGACAAAATTGAGACTTATGATGATGGGGAAAACTTTGAAAGCCAGAATGAAATATCTGCAATAGCCAGATTTAGTTTTTACATAATACATCTTTGACCAGTTAAATATCATAATTTTTATGCAACTTTTTTGAAACTGACAAAATAGACACTTACGATGATGGGGAAAATGACTTAGATTTGAGATAAATGCTTTTTCATTCTCTCCTATGACGTACATGTATAAGCTTATAGGTTTTAGGTTATATCACTGTAACCAGATATCATTTAATCTTGTGTATTTAGCACTAATTTCTTTGTTTAAAAATTCATAAAAATTGTTTATAATCTAATTTGTACTTGTGTCCAGTTTAAAGCTGGCCATTCAATTTTGATAATGAGTGTCCAATTTACAAGTGTTTAATTTCTCGATCAGTTAAAAAATAAACAACCCAATTGATTAATGATGTATAATGATTAATTTTTGAACAGTGGTCAGGAAATTTATTACTTGTAAATTGGACACTCATTATCAAAATTAATCAGTCAGCTTTAAACAGATCAGATGATTTGGGATGATTTTAAATGATTTTTATGAATTTTTAAACAAAGATTTGATATTGAATGAATGTGAAAGAAATTAGTGCTAGATACACAAGATTAAATGTTACCCGGGTTACAGTGTTATGTATATAGGTTATATGTGTATGTATATAAATATATGGATATGGATGGTTGTGGTATATAGAAAAATGTTTTAGAGCCCCTTGGGGAAATCTTGTCAAAGTTTACAAGTTATACGAAAACAAGAATTTCTGTCAGAGCCATAAGATTTGAAAATCAAAATTTGTCTGTCGCTAACGAATTTTGATCAGGTAGTCGTTATTTATTGAAAAAATATTAAGCACTGGAAACCGGTGAATGCTCTTTCAAATTTGGAGAAAAGTTGTCTGTTATGAGTTTTAGCATCTAAAATTTTGATAAAAAGTTAAAACATTTTAGGATGATGATGTAAATTGCAAGGATTAGGTATTTCGATTTTTAATTTCTAAATGTTACGGCTCGGGCAATAGATAGGTTTTGCAGCTTAACCGTTAGATTTAGATGAGTGAAAGTGGACATTAGAGAGATTTCGCTAAATTCACACTTACAGTTACACTTGGTAGGTGGTGACACAAACTTGGTCCACGATCTCGATAGGCCTTTATCATACATACATTGTCTCCGCCTTTTCTTATTTTGTCTACATGAAGGAGAAGGTCTTCTCTGTGGATTTAGTTCTTGAAAACCACGATTCAGAGTGTTGTGAACTTACAGATATCGGGGGTGCTATCCGTCTGTCTCACTTTTATGACGTGCGCTTGACGTCATACGTCACAAAAACTAATGACGTTTAACAGTCTAAATACAAATGTAACTGTAGATGAAAAGTTGCAAAACCCCTCTATCAGTTAGTTGGTATGTTATGAGTACTTTTCTAAAAGTATTACCTAATGGTTAATGAGTATCACCTATTAATGGTTAATGAGTATCAACTATTAATGGTTAATGAGTATCAACTATTAATGGTAAATAAGTATCAACTATTTTTTAACTCATTTCTAAATATAAACTATGCACTTTTTATATGATGTAGATTTTTTTCAGACGGGAATGTTTTGAAATATTTTCATGAGATATATTCTTATGTCTTGTTAATCTGGACCCTGTTTCTCGAAATCTTAACTAAAGATAAAATCCAGATTTTAATAGAGAGTTCAATTTTGATTGCCTAAGCACTAAAATCAATCTAATATTATCCAATCGAATTACTAAAATTTGGATTTTATCTTAGTTAAAATTTCGTGAAACAGGCCCCAGGTCGTTAAACACTGCTTTAATACTAGTAATAATAGTAGAACCTAGTGTCTATTTCCTATTGTCGATCTGATTAAAACACAGATATTATTTCGTTTTGTTTTTTATAGTTCAAAATTTCGTTTTACTTGTCTATACGGAGGGTTGGATGGCCGAATGGTTAGCATGTGCGCGCTGTATCATATGGTCTGTCATTGAGTCAACAGGTGGGGTTTCGATTCCCCAGGTGTACGTGACAAGGAGTAGGGTCGCCTGTCCAACCTCGTGGGTTTTCTCCAGGTCCTCCGGTTTCCATCCCACTGCTAAAGAGCCATACGCGCAATAAAGAGCCATACGCGCAAGCGAAATATTGAAATAAAATTGAACCATGTGTTAGTCCCGAAATGACCTAGTTTGTGTCGAGTGGACGTTAAACCCCATTTCTCTCTCTCTCTCACTTGTCTATACTACACTAGGATCTGGAAGAGTTGTTATATAAACTGTGTTCTAGTTGATGTGAGGGATTAGCCAATGGAACAGTCTGTTACAGCGAGTTTTTGGCGTGAGGTGCACGGAACTGTGGGTAACCCCCTTAGAAAAATCGATGCTGATCAGTTAATCAAATGTCTGATGTCATAGGGTCATAAGTCGGTCGTATGACCTCTGACGCGACCTATCGCAACAACTGGTCAGATCTTCATGTAGTGTAGGTCATCGAAAGTATAAAAAACGAAACGAAATATAGATCTGTAATTTAATGAGATTTACCTATTATGTACATAGATATAAGATAGCTCTATTTCTATTTATAGTTCAAATATTGAAGTATATCAACAATGCAATGTAGAAAATATTTATATATGTATCATTATGTGTAAGAAAGTGATCAACTTGGCTCCAAACAGCATTATAGGGAGCTCTTGTGTAGGGCCTACATGTAGAGGGAGCAACATGTATGTCCACCAGACGGACGTCATTGTCAACTTGATGATTCTTGGACCAATGTCCTTCAAGCGCAAAAACTACACAGACAATATCATAATTCCATGACATCATTATTAGAAGCATAGCAACCCACATGGCAACTAAGGACGAACAAATTTACATTGTGGATTTGAACTACTGTGATTGGCTAAAAACACAACATCCAAATGGTTAACATGTGCGCGTTGGATCATAAGGCCCGTCATTGAGTCCATTACATGGTTTTGATTCCCAGATCGTCTGTCCAACCTCGTGTCTCTCTCTCTCTCTCTCTGCCTGGTGGACAAGGATCTGGATATTAAACGGCTGTAGTCAGTGGACATTATCATCAGCATTATAGAGAAGTCCTTGTTTGTGTAAAATGTAAGAGGTGGTCTGTCATATAGTGAAGTCCTCGATGACATTAAATGTTTGTGGTAATGACTAATTATGTAGAAGAAATAGCAATCTGGTTAAAACACAGATCCTATTTCGTTTCGTTTTTATAGTTCAAAATTTCGTTTTACTTGTCTTTACTACACTTGGATCTGGAAGAGTTGTTATTTAACTTGTGTTCTGAATGGTGTCAGGGATAAGCCAATGAAACGGTCTGTTACGGCGAGCTTTAGGCGTGTTTTTCACGGAACTGTGGGTAATCCACTAGTAACATCAATGCTGATTGGTTAATCAAATGTCTGACGTCATAGGGTCATAAGTCGGTCTTTTGACCCCTGACGTGACCTATCGCTATAACTTGTCAGATCTTCATGTAGTGTAGGCCATCGAAAGTATAAAAAAAAACGAAACGAAATATAGATCTGTACTTCAATCAGATTGAAGAAATAGATACTTTTTGATTGATTGACAGTAGTCCAATAATTTACAAGTAGTATATGGTGTATGTTACATTTTATGATTTAAATCTTAATAAGTGCTAATTGTTTTCGTTTGGTGCAGGTTTTATGATTTTTTATTTGTTTGTTTTTAGCGCATCTGATTTCTCTATTCAGCCTGTCCTACCTCGTGGGTTTCTCCGGGTCCTCCAGTTTCTTCCCACTGCTAAAGACACCTACTTTCAAGGGAATTATTGAAATAAAATTGAACCATATGTTAGTCCCGAAATGACCTAGTTTGGGTCGAGTGGACGTTAAACCCCATTTCTCTCTCTCTCTTTAAACCCAAAGCCAAATATATAATGTCTAAGGGAGAGTTTAAATGTTGAGAATCAGCAAATCCAAATCCATTTTTAATTTGGGCTTTGTTTATTTTATTATTGTTCATATCGGAAATCCAGTCCCTGATTCTTATCAGTATGAAAATACCAAAGCTTGAACATACATTATGTAAGAGCTAAATCTGCCTATTGCAGATCTTTCTTTAGGTCTGAAATGTTATCTAAATTATTAATTAGACATTAATTAACTTATCCAGACCATAATCAACTCTCGGTGGCATCGGATTTCTCTGATATTAAATAGATTAGGACAGTTCAGCCATATTTTGATTTAATTTAAAAATGGAGGAGCGAGACTTAGCTTCGAACAACCAGTAAGGTGGTTGAAATTATTGCACACGTCTTGTCAAACCTTCAAAGGCAAATATCTTCGCTCACAATAGAGTAATAGTTCAAAAATAGATAATGCAAAATGAATATATTGAATATTTCATTCAAATCACTGGTCATTCGAGTCTTTGCCTCGCTTCTCTATTCTTAGATTAATTCATTAAAAGGACAAACCGTTCTAATCTACTTAAAATTGGAGCCAACCAATGGAATCGAGAGTTGATTATGGTCTTGTCATGTTAATTCATGTCTAATTAATAATTAATAATTTAGATAACATTTAAGGCCCAAAGAAAGACCTGCAATAGGCGGATTAAGCTCTTGCATAATGTATGTTTGATTAGTGTTGCAATGTTTTAATGGTCCAGATTTTTTTCACCCCAAGTTAAAAAGTAAATAAGGCTGATTAATATATACCATTTGTTTATTCCACTTCATCTTGATCTAAAGACATCAGCAATACGCAAATTGTGATTGGTCAACTCCAAAATCAACCTACAAATCAAAACCCTTTATAAAAAGCTAAAGGAAAATTCCGATAGGTTTTGATTGTCTAGACATTTGATAGACTGTCTAATTGAGGTCCCAGTCATCGCAGGAACAGAATATTTTTCTTAAAAACATGTCTTAAAATGTTATCGGAGTGACTAAATAAACGGACCATAAATAGTTTAAAATATATCTACTTTTCATAAGATTGAAATAAAAATTTAAAGATACATTATGGGAGATTCAATAACGAGTTGGCAGTTCTCACTATAATAGTTAAAAACTAGATAACGTAAAGGCAATTTGCTGAAAATTTCATTCAAATTGATCCACTATGAACCGAAAACTAAGTGAATGAAATTTCTGCCTAGCCTCGGTCATCATTACTAAAGTCAGTACGATAAATAGCATAGTCTCGATTATCTATTT